AATCGTGCAAAATTCATCAGATTCTTGCTCACCAGCTGATCCAGAAGTTCTGTTCCAGAACCTCTAGGGTGAAAATGCCTTTTAGTGCCCCAAAGTTCACCCAGAGAGAAGTACCTTAGTCCATCTCAGGCATGGCCGGACTTATTTTATTTATTTATTTATTAAATTTATATGCCGCCCCTCTCCAGAGACTCAGGGCGGCTTCTTTGTCACATTCAGCAGGGAGACAATAATCAAGATCTTGCGGTCTGGATCCAGGTATCTGCATGCAGCCACTGTGGAGAGAATGAGCAGTGGGCCTCCACAATGCTCAGGGCCTCTGTTGAGGTCAGCTAAGGAGGCATCTCAGCACCTTTAATGATCTCCAGCAGAGTGCTGGCCCGGAAATAAGACCCTGGGATCAGGGGTGAAATGCTACCGGTTCAGGCGATCCTGGATTGCCAAACCGGTAGCGCCCCCAAACCGGTCCCCCGGTCGCTTGCCCCACCCTGTTTCTGCAAAGGCAGAAGCCCCCTCCTGCAGGGTGATCCAAAGACAGGAGGGGGATGCTGCAGAAAAGGCCGCCTTCTACCCATGCCTCCCGTGCCGCCTCCGTGGGGCTCCAAAGCAGTCCACTGGATTCCCACCCGGCCACATGCCGGCTCTCTTTGACCACCGGTGCCACTCTGGGAGCTCAGCCCGTGGAGTCCAGCACTCTGGGGGAAAGAGGCGCCTCTGCCTTTGCATAAACGGGGTGGGCAGTTTGTACGGAGGATTGGCGGGGGGATGCACGGCCCTCCGGGATGGAGAGCTGGGCAAGAGAAGGCTCCGAGGTTCGCTTGTGCAGTCAAGCCAGATGACAGAGGGAAACTCAAAGTGTTTGGGGGCTTCAGAAGGGCAGAATGTGCTTCAGAATGTGCAGCTCCTGACTAACAGTGAGTGACGTGAGTGACAAGTTGGCCACGCCCACCCAGTCACATGCCCACCAAGCCACACCCACAGAACCAGTAGTGAAGATTTTCAGATTTCACCGCTGCCTGGGTTCCAACAACCTTTGGGCTTGGGGAGACCAAAAGAGGCTTCTGGAGAAAGAACCAGATCTTCACTTTCCTGCTTTCTGGGAATTCTTTGCTTCCTCCTTCCTTCCTTCTTTCACTCTGGCTGACAGCCAGAGCCCTGCATGGCAACTCCTGGGCCTGAGAAGTCCTGGCCGGTCAGAGGATGGAGAGAAACGTTGCGCTGCCTGGACTGAGGGGAAGCAGGAAGGCATTTTGGGGGCTGGAACATGCAACCGATCCAAGAGCAGAAGGACGGCTTCTCTTCAGGCGCCTTGGCAGTTCATCTCTGAATTAATTGATTAATTGACAGCATCCCTCCCCCCCAGCAGGGTCCAGTTGTTCCTGCAATCCGCCCCTCAAGGGTCAGCAAGATTTGGAGGAGCGGTGGGTGAATGGGGGCCTCCCAGGGCTGGAGGGAGAAAGAGCGAAGCCCCTGGATGGGCTGAAGTGAGAGAGCTGAAAATGAACTCTCAAGGAGGGCTGCGTGAGCAGGGGGAAAGCCAGAGGGGGGCAAACGGGGAAGGCTGCGTTGTGCTGCCATTGCTCGGATCGCTTTGTCTTGCGGGGAAAGGAAGGCCTCTCAGGCATTTTTTGGTGGGTTCGGCCCAGCAGGGGCCTCAAAAGAGCCCAAGGGAGAAACAACCATGGAGGAGGCTCTCCCGCTTTCCAGCAAAGTCCATCCCGATGGCAGTGAAGGAAATCTGCCAGGCAACCTTCCTGAGATCTGTCTATGGAGACTCTCCGTCATCCGGGTCACAGTTGTCCCAAAGATGCTTTTTCAAAAGGCAACTGGACTCCCTTCAAGGCTTTTCCTTGAAGACGTTTCGATTCTCATTCAAGAACTGAAGAAGCTTCTTGGATGAGAAGTGAAATGTCACCTTTGGGACTATCTGAGATCTCTACAAAACGAGAAAGGAGGAAACTGCAAGGCACCAGATGGGCCCTTCCACGCCATCCCTCCACCAGGGAAGCCCACTCCAGAGGAACCCAGCCCCCCAGAGAGACTCTGGGGCTGGGCTGCCCTCCGTGAAGAGTGGTGGATTGATGTGGCCCAGCAAGGCCAAGAAGGAAGCTGCCAGGAGGGAGAGAGCACACCTGGACTCAGAAGGGACCCCTCACGAGAAGCAGCCAAGCATTTCCTTCCTTCTTTCCCTCCCTCCCTCCCTCCCTTCCTGGCCCAGAGTGGCTGAGAGGCTCTGGCAGGGCATAGGGCACGAGAACCGTGCCCTGCCAGGGGCTCCGTCTTTCCTGCCCAGGATGGGTCCAGTAGGAGCTCCTGTTGCATCCATTCCAGTTCCAAATCTGAGGTCATGAGGAGGCCTGTGGGGCAGCGGTCCGGGGCTGGGCTGAAATCCTGAAGGCATCACAGCCACATACACCAAGGGCTTCGCACAATGACCAGAAGCCAGACTAGAGGTTGGGCAACTGACTTGCTTAGGTGAACACCAATCCTTTGTTCTCGCGGAATTGAATTCCTGCCCCCCGAAGGGCTGAGGTCCTTCCCTCACACTGCACTGGATCCAGCCTTCGTGCTGTCCGGGAAAAGCCCTGCGCTGCCCCCCAGCAGGACCGGCAGACCCTCCCGCCTGCCCTGAGGCCGGCCCAGCTCAGTCCCAGTGGACGAGGCTGGTCCCGCCCCGGCCTCCCTGTGGCCCTTCCCACCACCAACAATGCCTCCTCCCCTCCTCCTCCTCTTCCTCCTTTCCCAGGCAGGAGCCGCCTTTTAACTGTGGACACATTTCAGCCTCACCAGATCTGCTAATTATTGACAGTTGGCGAAGAGGAGATGTCACTCCCCCCTCCTGTTAAACTGCATCTAATTAGTAATTGCTGCTCACTGTCATCGTGCGGCTGCTGCCGCAACACCACCGCGCGTTGGCTCATTAACCTCTTGCTTCTCTCATGGCGCTGCCAGCAGAGGGAGGCTCAGACAGACTGGCGAAGGAGGGCCGCTCCCCCGTTGCAGAGCCAGAAGGATGCCTGGGCCCAGGGCAGGCCTTCAGCTGCTCTTCAATCCGTGGAGGGGCAGCTTGTGGGGGTCCGCCCGGCTGCAGAGGGACAGTTGCTCCCAACCTGTGCTGGGCAAGGCAGCTGCCTCCCAAGGACAGGCTGAAATGTCTGGGGGAGTGAAGGGCACCGGTGGATGCCCATAGAGAGGAGTACCAGGAGGAAGAGGAGGAGTTTCTTCGTTGCTGTAAGCAAGCAACAGGGCCAGCCAAGCCCCCTTCCCACTGGCAAGGGTTTGAAACGTGAAACGGGCATCACGCAGGGCATTGCTGCTAACCTGGGGGGTTCAGGGTCCCAGACCTGGCAACGGCCGCTGGCTTGGAGGGTTTCAAATTCATCCCTTAGGCCCTGGGGGCCTGGGAGTTGCCCCCTGTAAACCCTGTGCCTTCCATCCCGCCTCCCCCAGCATCACCTGGCTGGCCCTGCTGAGGAGCTAAGCGCTGAGCTCCCTTGCGTGGCCTTGGCCCCTCCAGCATCCCTGCCCTGCTCGGCCATCCCCCTTTCCAGTTCCCTCTGAGACTCTCCTCTGAAGTCGGAATCCTTTTGGATCAGAGGGGGCAGCCCAAGAACTTAAATCAACCCACCAATAATCAATCAATCAATCAATCAATCAATCAATCAATCCTTAGAAACGCTCCCTGGAGGGGGGCAGAAGGCAAGGCTCCAAGGGAGGAGGAAGCAGCCAGGACAGGGGGGTTGGCAAGGGGAAGGGGCCTCTTTTGCAAGGCCGCCACAAGAGCCCCATGTTTACTTCTCCAGTATCGGGGGCCCTCCTGAACATTCTGGGGAATCAGAGCCAACCAGGAGGCGAATGGGACAAATCCCCACGGCCAACTCATCATGACCAACTCACCAGAGGCATAATTCAATTATTTAAAATAGTTAAAAATTGTTTTCATTTTTTTCATTCACATTTAATTTTGTCCCCCCTGCGACATCCTTTCTTTAATGAGTCTATCCCTCTATTCCTTCTATATTAGTGTAACTTTTGTCCCACGGCGGGAGGGGGGGGCTGTGATGAGTTGCCACCAGGAGGGCCCCCTTCACCTTCCTGGCCCTCCTGCTGGGCACCTGGAGGGTCTCAGGCGTGCCAGTTGCCTCCCCACGCAGGTGGGCTCAGCCTCCACCCCACTGGCCCCCCGAGCCCTTGTCTCAGGAGCCCCAGGAAAGGGCCTCAGGGGTCCTGCAAATGGGACTCCCTGGCAAGCAGCCCCCCCATCACTGCTATAGGAGCCCAAACGTTTCCTGCCCAGCAGGGCCGCCCTCTTGGGGTTCCAGCCTCCGGGGCCCAGGGCTGCAGCTGTCCCAGGCCCCCGGTTTTCACTCCTCTCCCCCAGGCACCTTCCTCCAGGGGCAGAGCAAGCGAAGGCGGACTTCCTGCACTTGCCCCTTCAGAGGGCTCCCCTCAGCTTTTCTGGGTAACCCATTAAAGTCCTTTGACCAATTAAAGTGGTGCTCTAATTAAGATGGGGCAGCCAATCCCACCCCCACCCCGCTTCTCATGAAAGGGCTTCGGGGGCTCCAGGTGGCCCATTGCAAAGCCAGCAGAGGGGCAGGGGGGGGGGGGCGGCACTCCTCTGATGCTGCCCTTCCCTGATCCCGAGACACAAAGGAGGAAAAGGCTTTTCCTGTCAAACTGTTGCCCAAACTGGGACCTTTGCATGCAAATCCTGTCACCAATCCAGTAATTAAAACCACCGTTTACCTATTTCTCAAATCTGCAGGCGGCAGCCCTGCCCTCCCATTACTTACTCACTGCTTATCTTGGTTAAACTCTTCCTGAGTTTAACCAAGATAAGTTAAACTCAGGAAGAGCTAGGGCTCTGGAGCAGGCGGGTTCAGGACGTATACGCCCACTGCTTTGTCAACTGAGGGTGCTCAGGGGTGCTCTTGGACCCTTCCACAAGAGTCTCCCCTTGCCCACCCTCCGGGGACCGGAACGAGCGTGTCACTGACCTGGGACATCTGGGGGAAGAGGCTGATGGCCAAGGGCAGGGCGAGGCCGAAGGCGGCAAGGCACACGAGGCTTTGGACCGGGAGGAGCATCCGAGGTCGGGAGCGCAGAAAAGCCGTCCTGGAAGACAGACGGATGTCATCGTCAGACAGAGCAACCCACCGGGACCCCCTTCTCTGCCGCACTCGCAGCCCTCTCTGGGGAGAAGACCAGCGATTTAGCCCCCAAGGGGCCTGCGAGGGAGAAGGGTTGGAGGCCATCCACAGAAATGAACGTCTTTTGGGTGAGGGCCTGGCCCTCGTCACCCACCCTGGCCAGAACACCCTGATCTCCTGTCATTGCCAGCCAACCAGCCTGTCTGTCTGTCCCTCAAGGACCCGCAAGGGCCAAACCAGAAAGCTGGAGGAGATTCCGGCCGATACAGGAAGCCTTCTTTCCTTTACGCCCACCAGAGCTGCAAGAGGGATGCGGTGATTGCTGCCCCTCCGGACTCCTTTCGGAAGGGATGCACAAGACAGTGAGGGCTCTCAGCGATCCCCAACCCTACCCTGGCTCTGAAGGACCTTTGGCAATTGCCCTCTTTGTGCCCAGAGGGTGGGGGCAGCACTGGGGACATCAGGCTCTTCTGAAGTGCTGCTGCCCCTCCCTGCCTGGGCAACCTCCCTCCTCCTCCATTCGTGAGAGCTTTGACAATGGGTTCATCCCCTCCCCAGTCGGGCAACGCACTGAGACGCAGGCCTTGCCAAGGGGCCACCATATTTAAGGGCCCCGAACAAACCAGAGCCACGGAGGCAGGGGAGGAGGACACAGGCGATCGCCTCTCCCCCCACGGGCATCCCTTCTGTCGGCAACTGGGCTCTTAGCTCAGGGGAGCCCATCCCCTCTGTCCGTGTTCCTGATGAAGGTGGGCGGTGCCCCTCTGAAATTCCACCCAGCACCCTCGCAACCAAAGCTGGCAGCCCACTGGCCCCCGCCTGGCCCCTCTGGGCCGCTGCCCCTCTTCCCCAGGCCACCCCATTTCCTTTTGGGGTCTGCAGCCACTTAATTGCAGCCACTGGGCTCCTCCCCATTTCTATGGGGAACATAACCAATTTAGAGCGTTGTCTGGTGAGGCTCCCAGGTGTGACTTCCACCCTGGGTGTTTTAAACTCAGGCCAATTCAAATCACAATGGCTACGGCCTCCTAATTAGGAGGCGTTATGGCCTGATTTAAAGAAAAAGCCTTAATTATCACATGAAGTGCAATGTCTTAATTGGGACTCAGATCTCAGCGTTTGCAAAGTTCAGGCTAAATGACTCACAATTAAGCGAGAGGGAGGCTCAGCCTTCAGATCCCTGCTCTTAAGAATCACAGCAAGGCCCGGATGCTGCCTGCGAGGGTGCCACCCTGATCCCGCACACCAGTCAGGGCAAGCCCTGCCCACCCCGGGCCTCTGGCCCCCAACTCCCCCTGCTTTCTCTGCCAGGCTGAAGAGCTAAAGGGCCACTCAGCTTTGGATGAAGGCTGTGAGAGCCCCACGGGGGAATTCCCTGGCTGGAATCCAGTTGCCAGAGGAGCCCAGGTTGAGGTGCTCCAGCTACCAGCAAATACAGAAAACCACTGTACAGAGTACGGAGAAGGATCCCCGTAAGCCTTCATCCCAGTGTCCGTTGCACGTGGGAACGGCTGCTTTCCCACTGTAGAGGTAAGGAGTCCTTCTCTGCCGGGGCTTGGATGGGAAGAGGACTTCCAGGATCAAGGCCAGCCCTCTGGCTGCCCTGCAGCCCATCCTAGCTGGGGGTGGTCCATGCTAGTCAGCCCACACCATGCAGACCCTGCAACCGGCTTTAGAGCAAGGGTCTCCAAACTTGGGGACTTCTGGACCTCAACTCCCAGAATTCCCCAGACAGCCGGAATTCTGGGAGTTGAAGTCCACAAGTCTTAGAAGTGGCCAAGTTTGGAGACCCTGCTTTGGAGGCTTGGTTTGATGAAAAGGGGAACAGCTGGCATTGGCCCAAATTTCCTCGGGGTTCCCAGAAAGCTTTAAAAAGGGGCCCTTGATACTTGGGAGCCTGGAAAGAAGGGGGCAAGACCGAGACGGGAGGCAGCCCACCCTCTCCCTCCTGCCTGGCAGCGAGCAGGAAGAGACCCAGTGGAAGTGGGAGTCTCCTTGTTGCCACCCGAGAGGCCCCTGCCTCCGTGCCTTGGCCTTCTTCACAGCAAGGGCCTCCGGGGGCCGGTCCCTCCGCGGAGCCCCCACCTCTTGTGGACAAGGCCTCAGGGAGGCAGGAAGCCCCTTCCAACAGCCCAAGGGGGGTGGGCAAGCCAAGGCCTCCACCCCCAAAGGGACCCGGAGAGAAGGATGGTGCAGACGGTGCATCTGTGCTGCAGACACGGCGTGTCACCAAGCTTGAACGCGCACCTTCCTTCAAGTTTCAGCACATGGCTGATTAGCGGTTCATGTTCTGCATAATGTGGCAGCTGTCGCCGGCGTTTTCGGAGGGCCTGCAATGCCTTCCATATGGAAGTTGCTCTCGGGACGCCCAGGCGTTCTCAGGTTTGGTGCTCCAGACCGGCACCTGCCTCGGAGGAGACGGAGGCGCTGAGCGGGCGATGGCAGGGGCTCAGGGCAGGCTCCGAAGCTGGCAGACTCCGGGTGGGGCAGGAAGGGCTGTGTTTACAGTCAACACGGCTGCCATCGATGTCTCCGGTTAGAGCCACAAAACGGGGAAATGAGGGGCCCTGAGCTGGGCGGTTTCCTTGCAGCCGTTTCATGACCCAAACTAGGGAACCTCACCAGGGCTAGCTGGGTCATGGAACACCTGCAAGGAAACCACTCGGCTCAGACAGCCCCCACAAGGAGCCCCCAGTTCAGCCCTGACCTACCAGGATCCTCCCTGTTGGACTGGGGAGAGGCAGGCGTTTCTGGGGTAGCAGAGGGACCCTTGTGGATGTCCCCCACTCCGATGCTGAGCCCCCGGCCCAGGACAGGTGCCTCACTCCCCCCCACGCCCTGATCCGACAAGGGAGGCGCCCTCCCCAACCACAGGGCCCTCCATGCTCAAAGGATACGGAACCTTCAAGGCCCTTGAAACATGGGACCCCATGAACCCCCAAAGCTGCCTGCAAGGGGGGGTCCCTTCTCAGCCGCTGCTTTTTCTCCCCTCTGCCGCTGAAGCCACCGTCCTCCGAGGACTCAATTCAACTGAGGTTGCTTCTGGGGCTCCCCGGGGGTTCACATAAACTGCAGCCTCATGACCACAGTCTCGAGTGCGGATCCTCTGCTTCACAGGAACTCCCCCATTCTCCCCCATTCTCCCCCACCACACATCCTATGGCACGTCCTTTGCCTGCAGGAGGCCAAAGGCCACAGTGCCAGTAGTGCCCTCAAGAATCAGGCCCAGGGGAGGGGAGATGAGCACCCCGCTCTCTCTTCCTGGGAACCTGAGCCATCAAGAGCAGCACCAACAGCAGCATTTCACATCTGTGGATGCGCCCCCCTACCCCCACCCCCGGTGCCAAGCAGGGAGCTCAGAACAGGTGCCGCTGAGCCTGGCTGGCTGCTTCCCCAGGGAGCCGAGGGGAGACTGTGGAGTCCCCACAGCAGGAGGGGATGGGAAGGCTCTTCCTGGGGAGGAAAGGAGGAAATCTCGGCGGGGGGGGGGGCACACACACTCAGGAGATGAGAGAAGGCAGGCCCAGGAAAGGGGGAACGACTGCAGCCCCCCCCCAGAGGCTGTGCAACAGAGGTGGAGGAACAAAGGCAGGAGGGAGGCCGAGGTGTCTCCTCTGGAACATCCTGCTTCAACCCAACCTTTACTTCCGTGATTGAGTTCAGCTGATTTGAAATTCTATTTTGCAGTTCACTCTTTAGTTTTGATGAGAGAGAGAGAGAGAGGGGCTTGCTGAGAAATAGACGACCTTCAGAGTTAGAAGAACATGGCCTGAGATTTGGCTGGCTTTGACACTTGTGGTATGAGAAAATTCAGACTCACGTACATTTTAAAAATCACTGTGTCAGACGTTCCATTTAGAGTATGGAATAGATACAAACCCAGGATATCCCCGAAAACACCTTTGTAGCAGGGATGAAATCCAGCAGGTTCTGACAGGTTCTGGAGAACCTGTAGCAGAAATTTTGAGCAGTTTGGAGAACCAGCAAATACCACCTCTGGCTGATCCCAGAGTGGGGAGGGAATGGGGATTTTGCAGTCTCTTTCCCCTGGAGTCGGATGGGAATGGAGATTTTGCAGTATCCTTCCCCTGCCACACCCACCAAGCCACGCCCACAGAACTGGTAGTAAAAAAAACCTGGATTTCACCACTGCTTTGTAGCTCTCCGCACAAGAAGCATTTTACAGAGAGAAACAGTAGGCAAGCAGTAATAAGTCCTGCAAGATATTAGAATGTTGTCAAGGGGAACACAACATTAAACCAACTGTACAACTGATGGCAGAGAGACATAACTGTAAATGGTTTTCTCATTTATAGTTATCAGAAAAGTTCAAAGTAGACAAAAGAATTTAGGATGTATTGAATACTCTGGCTTTGGAATTGCATACAAATGAGGAGCTAGCCCTTGTTAAAATGTATAAACTTTTATTGAGATTTGAAACAGAAGAAATGAAAGAATGTATGATAAAGTGCGCTAAAAATTGTGGCTATAATACACAGGTGGAACAACGGAGACTACATGATAATCTTCAAGAGAAGTTTTATAAAATGATGTGCCATTGGTATATGACACCAGAGAAATGTTCTAGAATGTATAAAAGCACCTCACAGTTATGAGAAGGGTCATTTTGCTATGTTTGGTAGATGTGTAAAAAAGCTAGAAAATTCCAGATTCAAATATATACATGGATTAAGAGGATTTTAAAAAATAATATACAGCTAAAACCAGAACTTTTCCTTTGGGACTTCTGTTTTGCAACACACACACACCGGAAAAAATGGATGCGTGAGCTATGGCTTTGATGATTAGATAGGACAGACTGTAGAGGGTCACGATATAATTTTAGAGAAAGAAATGAATCTACAACTGTACTCATAACTGCTGTAAAGAAGACTGGAAATTACTTTATATCTTTTTTCTTTTCTATGTTTCTTCTACTTTATTCTTTTCTTTTTTTGTTTTTTCCTTTCTTCCTTTTTCTGGTTTCCTTCTTGTTCATTTTTAATCTTATTTTTAAAACTTTCAATAAAATTAAATCAAACTATATAGAGGTTTGATTAACACAGACTGGGAAAGGACACAGGAGGGAATGACAAAGATCTGGAAGAATGTGGTAGAGGAGCTTTTACTCAGTGTGAATGCTGACAACTCTTTAATGGCACAATATATGACAGACTCCACCACAGTTTCAACTGGGAAACAGTGAGCAAAAATACAAAAATGCTAAGGAATTCCTCTTGGCATTCAGACAAACCAGCCATCAATAGACACATAGTGATGAACCAAATTTACACACCATTCAAAAGAGACCAAAAAAGCTAAGAAGGATAAAAGAAAAGACCAGGAACACATATTCTCCAGCAGCCAACGCCAAGATAAGCAGGGATCAGCACCAGGCAAACAATATGGGTGGAAAACAACATCCAAATCAAAGTAACTACCGAGGAGAAAACCACATCCCCACCCACACTGCCAAGGCAAACCCCTATATATGTATATAAACAGGGAGTAAACCCCACACTCACACACACTGCTGATGTTACCCAGTAAGGTAATGAAATGTCTTCAAAACAACCAAGCTCAGGATGCACCCAAGGACCCCCCAGTTCAACCCTGAGCTACAAATGTTCTCTTCTACTGTTTTTGCTATATTGTACATTTCTCAGACCTGCGCGGTTCTTTCATCCGTTGGTTTTATGGCTGTGCTTTAATTATAAGCCAGCTGCCCAGAATTGAGTAGCTTCTAAATTTAATAAAAATACACTGAAACGAAGGAGCTTCTCATCAATTACGTAGATGTCCTAAAAGTGGAAGCTCTGACCAACACCCAGCAGGACGGAATGAGACGGAAACCTGAGTGGCTGGAAGATGCTGGAACGGCATGTTCCTTTGCATTAATAGAACAAGCGTTTGGCGAATATGACACCCCAAAACACCCTTCCGTCATCCTGGGGGGCCTTGACTCCCCTCTCTTACAGCCCTGTGGGGAGCCCCCCCTCCCAAGTGCCATCTGCGCCCACTTACTTCTCCAGGAGAGACATGATGACGGGAGGCAGAACCAGGATGGGCATGGGCAGGACCACTCTGGTGAGCGCCGTCTCCAGCAGGGCCTGAGGAGACACGGTGGGCGGTTGCTTCAGATTCGTTGCCTGCCCTCCTGCCGGAAACAGGGGGGCTCCGAGTGGGGTGGGGAGACGGCCTTTCTCGCCCGCCCCACGGAAGAGCCCGGCGGGGGTTTGGGCTGGGTCACTCTCACCCCACGGGGGCCGGAAGCTGCCATGTCCACCCTCTGAAGGGCCCTGGCAGATTGCAGCCAAAGGAACGATCTGGAGGACACAAGGGGGGGCATCCCGAGGACGTTGTGCTTCTGCAAACGGGCCCTTCCGCAGCTGTGCGCACCCTGGTGCCTTGGGCATGTCTTGCTGGGCACCTCCTTGGCTCTTGGAAAGAGGGCTGAAAGGCCGAGCCCATCCTCTGACCCCTCCCCATCGCTCTTCATGCCAGCCCTGCAGTTTGCAAAGGTGCCCTCCAAGTGCCTGCCCAGCGTCTGGGCAGCTTGGTCCAGAACCCTTCTGGGCTGCCACGGGAGGGGATTCGTGGGCTGCCACGGAACCTGGGCCTGTGGATCAGCTGCCTGCCCTTGTGGGTTTGCCGAGGCTCAGCCTCTCCCGGACTGTGAAGGGACCCGGGTCTCCTGCACCTGCACTCCCCCCCCCCCATGCTTTTTGCAAAGTGCCCCCACTCCACGTCCTGGAGGAGGCAGCAGCTTGGGGAGCAGCCGCCCTGGTGCAAAGAGTAGCTGCAGCAAAGCAAAGCTCAGATCTTAGGGGGGGAGGGCGTATGGGGGGGGTCCAAAATAAAAAGCAGTATAAAAATGTTTTGACCGAGGGGGCTGCAGGGGGCTGGCTTGACCCTGCCCCGGAGGCTCTAGCTTCCCAGAGGCTGGTGGTCTCCGGTCCACAGGGGCTCTGCCAGCTGAACAGGTGTTCTCTTTGGGACGGTGTGAAACACAACAGTGACACAATCGTGCCTCTCAGGGACACAATACGTTGAGTGGGGCTTTGTGTAGGTTATCCTGGCAAAGAGCTACTCAGAAGCAGAAAGCACAGGGTGTCTGCCATCTGCAGACTGAACTGGGGGTGGGGGGGGAGGAGGAGCAGGCAGGTGTGGAGGGGGAGTCGGGAAACATCTGGAGCATCTTCCCACAGACACAGCTGGCAATCGCTAATTAATTCCAGGCCGGGAAGTTAGAAACCCTCCTGCCTCCTTTCCTCTTTGCCACTCCACAATCGGGCACGGGACCCTTTCCTCTCAGGGGGCAACTGCGGAGGGAGGGAAAAGGCTTCTTGCTCTCATGGGCCCCAGAAGCGCCAGGACCTTTCCGACCCCTCTGCTGGCAGGGCTTAGGGCACCCCGGGTATGGGGACTCCCCAAAATGCTTGACCAGCAGAGGAATGTCTCCTCATGGCCAGCAGGAGAAATTCCCAGAGGGGCGAAGGGGGTGGGCATCCTTCTTCACTCCCTGAGCAGCAAAGGCAGGCCCAAGAAGCCCGGCCTCTGCATGCCCACCCTATGCCTGACCCTGGTGGGACCCTCAACCCCTCCCCCTAGCGAAAGGCACATACGTGTCTGGCAGCGATCCGGGACGATCCAACCACGTTCCCTTCCTCGTCCAGGACGTCGATCCCTTCCTCCAGTTCCGTGTGCCTCATCAGGACCACGTTGCAAATGTTGGCACTCGCTGGGGGGGAGGGGGAGGAACAGCTGAAAAGCCATGCTGGAAGGAGAGCCCACCCCACATGGGACGGGGGAAAGCCCCCTGCTCCACTGCTTCCAATCCCACAGAAGGGTGGCGGTACCAGAATTTGAACTCTGATCCCCCTGGACCCGGCTGAAATTGCATTTACTGGAGGGAGGAATAGTGTCATAGCTGGGCTACACCCCCTGCCAGCTCCATGCTGAAAGCCCCTCCTGCAGCCCCAAAGTCTCCAATGGAATCACTGCCCCCCCCCAGGGGAAAGCATGTCACCCCCACTTCTCCCAAACCACTAGATGCCCTCAGCTTCTCTGGCAGAGCTCTTCCTCCCAGGCTTGCCGCCCCCCCCCCCCCCCCCCCCCCCAGGCCAAACTGAGGCTGTTTCCAAAGCAGCAGAGAGGAAGCAGCCAGGAAAAGCTCTGGGCACAGCCATGCGGGAGGGAGGGGGAGGGGGAGTCTGGGAGACCCCAGTCTGGAAGCCTTGGGGGCCTGGGCCACAAAATCAGGGAAAGCAGAGGCAGGGCTGCCTGCAGTGCTCCTTGCAAAGCCCAGGGTGGGGGTCTCGGGTGAGTCAGGGGATTGCCTGATCCTGCTATGCCAGACATCGCCCCCCCCCCCAGACTGTGATACCTCCAGCCTGCCTGAAGCCTGGCACCAGGGACCCCAGCGGCACCAGCCTGCGGGAGAGGGCAGAGGGTCTCACCTACGGCAGGGAATGGCACAAATCTCTGGATCAGGAGCCGGGTGGCCGGCGTGAACTGGTTGGCTCTCTGGATGAGAAGGTTAAGGCCCACCTGCGGGGGAAGCAAGCCGAGGGAGGTCAGGGGGCTGAGCCCCTCACTTGCTGGGCGTCCAAGGGAGGGATTCTTCCTGCTTCCGCCCCCTCCCCCCAATTCCCTCTGCTAAATGCTCATCGCCTGAAGACAAACCTTCCTGGAAATCTGAACGTGGCAGGTTGTGAGAGCAAAATCCCCCCACACCCTGAGGAGCAGAAGGCTGTCCCGAGATTCAGGAGTGCATCACTGCACCACCTTTAAACAGGAGACGACGTCCCCAGACCAACCCCCACAAAAGCGTGGCAAAGGGAACCACAACACACCTACCCTCCACGTGGCATCTGCCCTTCGCAAGGAAGCCCCCTTGGCCTCTCAGATGATGTGGGGCAGCAGTCAAGCAAACTAAGACTAGGAACCTTCAATTCTACCCCCCCCACCGCAAGACCAGAGGCAAAGCCCATCATCCACTTCCTTTCCCAAGGGGAAGGTTGATGGCTTCAGCCAGAGAGCGGCCCAGCCGAGACCAAGGCTGCTGTCCTCAAGGCCGAGCACGGTTCTCTCGCGGTGCTAAGTGGTCAGCGGAGCCAGGACGGTGGGGGTCCCTCTGCTCCACGGCAGATGCTGGTGGGAGATTCGCAGACTATCAACGCATCTGAGCAGCTTCTGGCAGACAATTATCAAGGTGGGCAGAAGGACGGAGGAAAGCCGCAGGGCACCTTCACCAGAGAAATGGTGTTGCTGAGAGGCGGAGCAGGGCAGGTGACCGGCGGGAGGAGAGAAAATGAGAAGCCGGTGGGAGAACTGGACCAAGGGGCCAGGACCCTGGGACAGAAGAGGGGTCATTGTGGGCAGAGCTCTGCAGGCTCCTTGGCAGCATCTTGCTGGTCAGTCTAGTGCAGGGATAGGCAACGATGCCAACTTTATGACCTGTGGACTTCAACTCCCAGAATTCCCGAGACAGCTTTGCCCCCACCCCACGTCCAAAACTGAGCCTGCTCATTGGCTGAAACGCTGGAGATGGGGGGGGACTGTCTTGGGGCCACCTCCACCTCTATGGGGCAGCACAAGACCAGCAAAGCACTTCCTCCCCACAGATCCTGGGTACCCGAACCCCCTCATGCCACTCCAGCCCTGTGGGGATCCTCACCCCACAGGCTTTGGGGGGGAGTATCTTCTTGCTGCTTCTCGCTCACCCCCCCACACCCAAGAGGGGAAAAAAGAAGCCTTAAAGGGCCACTCACCGCAATGGAGACGGCACTGACCACGGCCCCCAGGTAGCCCTGGATGAACTTGGAGGTTGGAGACGGCTGGGAAGGAGGAGGAAGAGGACAAGAAAGAATGGTGGGAAATTAATCAAGGAGAGAGGCAACCTAGAATTAAGGAGAAACTTCCTAACAGTGAGGACAATTAACCAGTGGAACAGCTCGCCACCAGAAGTTGTGGGTGCTCCAACACTTGAAGTTTTTAAGAAGAGACTGGACAGCCACCTATTTGAAATAATATAAGATTTCCTGCTTGAGCAGGGGGTTGGACTAGAAGACCTCCAAGGTCCCAGTTCTATTCTGATTAATAGAAGGCAGCACCTGGGATCACAAGCAGGAAACCAAGACATGGAGGGGGGGTGTTTAGGGTTAGGCATGCCTCCTCCCAGCCCTTGGTTTGCAGCCCCCGAGACTCCCCTGCTGAAAGCGGCCAGCTCTTCGCAGCTCCTCCTCCTCCTCCTCTGGGCAGCAGAGCCCCCGCCCTAAATCCTCTGGCCATGCAGCTGGGCGTTCTGGGGCCAGAGACTCAGCGGGGCAGGAGGCCTGGGCGGGGCAGGGAAGGCTGGCTGGCTGGGCTCCAACAGCTGGATGGTGGGCCCCTTGGAGGAGGAGCAGGGTGGTCCCTTCAGGGCTGCAGAGCTGGCCATGTGGCAGGAAGTTCTGACCTTCCCGAGAGACAGGCAGATGCTGTGCCCAGCCCCAAAGGATGGCAGAGGGGTCTGATGTGAAGGCCTAGCCGAGTCCTGGCATCTGGACCTCTGGCCAGGGCGTGATGTGCTGACCAGTCCCTGCCACTGGAGCTCTCCCTGCACCCCAGGAGGATGATCTGGGCCAGGGGAACCAAGCCGGAGGGCCCCCTGTGCTCTCTTGTGGAGACCCCCCCCCTCACCTTGGTTGCGTTCCGGTTTGCATAGTTGACACAGGCGTTGTGGCTCTGGTTCAACCACTAAGGAGAAGGGAGAAGAGAGAGGGACGGAGCCCTGGTTAAAAGGCAGCGGGAGAGAGGGTCAGCTCAGGCAAGAGGCGGAAAGTCCACTGGCAGAACTGCTGTGGGAGAAAGAGGAGGGGGCCGAGTGGCCGGAAGCAGCCCTTCCAGGTGAGCCTCTGGCCAGCACAGAAAGCCTCTGCTTGTCCAGTCCAGGCGATGCTGCTCCTATCTGAGAGACAAAGAGCCCCCAGAGGCCCAACAGCTCACCACTCTCTCCCTGGCCGGTACTCACCTGCCGGTACGCACAGGCACACCCACCCCACGCCCCTCCCCTGGCCTGCCTGCTTTTCCAGGTCAAATTGGGTCCTCCCCAACCGTGGCTGCTCTATCACTACCCTGCGGGGAGGGAGAGGGGGGAGCGCGCCAGTCCCCAGGGGGCTCTCCAGAGCCATTTCCACCTTGGCTGGTGCTGTCTGCACAGGGAGAGACAATTCGGTGAGCCGCTCTGGGAGCAGCCCCCCCTCCCCCTCCACGACCGGCCTTGGAAGCAGGACAGGGCCCTGGGGCTCTGCTTGCTGCCTTCCTCCAGGGGAGCTTCCTAGCCCAGGGCAAGGTTCCAGCTGTGGCAGGGCAGCCCTGAGACGGGGAGAGGTCAGTGTGCGTGTGCATGTGCGTGCGTGTGTGTGTTGTGTGTCTCTGAGCAGCTTGGTGCTATGAGCTGAGCTGTGCTGGGTGCTTACCTCCACCGGCCCTGCCTGCCCTTCTACTAAGAGTGGCTCTGCGGGGGCTGCTCTGTCCCTCTCCAGCTGCTGGCAGGACCTGGCAAAGGAGGCTGAGCCGAGAGCAGAGAAGAAGGGAAGAGGGAGAGAGAGAAGGAGAGAGCGAGAGAGTCAGAGAAGGAAATGCGAGGCGAGAGGAAGGAAAGTGGCAAGAAAGGCAGGGCAACCTGTGCCAGGCGGAAGGAGAACAGAGGTCTTGAGGGGGGGAGTATGGAGGCAAAGCCCCCCCACCCCCTCAGGCGAAACAGCTTTCCAGACCTCTTGCAGAAAGTGGAATGGGAGGTGGGTTTACCTTAAGTTAACTCAGCCTGAATGCCAGGCCTGCCACGCTCTGCACCACAGTAACTCAGGCTGGCCTTCCACCTGGAGAGAGAGCTCTCTCTTCCACAATACAGACGCACACAGACACAGAGGTCTTGCTTTGCACATTCCTTTCAGTTTCTGCCCTTCCAAGCTGCTGACAATGCAAAACCTGCCATTTTCTTGGTTTCTTTTTCTGCAGGCTCACCGGACATCCTCACAACCACAAACAAGGGAAACAACTCACTTTTTAGGAGGAGAACCAACGCATCGGCCTAGCCCCGTCTGGGGAACAGAGACCGGCTTTGGTCTGGGTGTCTCGTCCGGAAGAGCCCAGGGACCATCTCAGCAGACAGTTGGGGGTCCCTCAGTCTGGCCTGTGACAAGATCCGGCCCGGCCCCCCAACACGGCCTTGGCAGCCGGAGGACTGGGGAGCATCCACAGCGGCCCCCTCCCTTTGGACCCCTAGTTCAGGAAGGCCTGGGGTGCTGTAGCGGGGGGGGGGGCTGCAGAACTGATGAGAATCCAGAGGGCAGGAGAGGGAAGAAAATGGATATAGGACGATGGAGGGAAGAGGCAGATAAGGAGGGGAAGGGATCCTGGCTCTCCCAGAGAAAGCAAGGCGATGGGCCCAGAAGGACAGCAACCATTCATGAACGATGACAGCTGCCCACAAGTTGCTTTGCAGAGTGAGATGGGTGGCACAGAAGATGGATGGATGGATGGATGAAGGCAGGCAGGCAGGCAGGTAGGCCTGAGGAGGGGATCACTGCTTGAAACACGCAGCTGGCAGAGGCTCCTCCTCCAGGGGATGATGGGCACACGCGTGCTCCTTACCTGCCAGAAGATGGTGGAGGCCAGGGTCTGGTTTGGCAGCAGGAGACCCACAACCTATGAGAGGAAAGGGCAGATTTCAAACACAAGGAAGGCACAAATGCCAGGCGGGCTGAGCCCCTCCGGAGGGCCCCCAATGCTCCCTGGGCATAAAACGAACGTGGGCAAGCATCGGTGGGTGAGAAGCCTCACCCTGGGCACGCCTGCCACCTGCAGAAAGGGAGGAGCTGTTTCAGCACCCATCCAGCCCGAAGAAAAGGGGCTCCCCAGGCAGAGCCCCTCCCCTGGACCCTGGCTTTGGCCCACAGGAAGCAGACAAAACGTTGCTCCCTGCCCTCCCGCCCCCGCTGGCGATTGTTCCCCAGATTCGGGGGGGGGGGGGGGAAATGCAGGGGGCCTCTCCCCCCCTGGGGGATGCTGCTTTTTGGGGGGCCATCAGGCTGGCAGGGAGAGGAGGCTTCAGCCTGCAAACCTGAGTCTTATCTGCAAAGTAACCCTGGGTTAATAACGATCCATTTAGTGACCACTCAAAGCTACAGTTGCTCTGAGAATTATTCACAAGTGGTCCTCGCACTTACAACCGTCACAGCCAGCACCTATATACAAAGACACAGTGTTCCGGGGTCAGACGGTTGCCACTAGTGACTTTATCAGCCGGCTTCTGACAGGCAGAATCAACAGGGAGAGCCAGGGTCGTGTGATTCGCCTAGCAACTGCACTGATTCGCTTAACAACCAGGGCAAAAAGGTCATAAAATCAGGCATTGCTTAACTGCCTTGCTTAACAATGGAAATTCTGGTCCCGACTGTGGCCGTAAGCCGAGGACAGTCTGTACCCTAGTTCAGGGGTCTCCAGCCTTGGCAACGTTAAGCCTGGCGGACTAACTAACAGCTGCCTGGGGAATTCTGGGAGTTGAAGTCCGCCAGGCTTAACGTTGCCAAGGTTGGAGACCCCTGCCCTAATTCTTTTTCTTGAGGGACAGGTGGGTCCTGGTGGGGGGGGGGGGGGAAGGCATGGAATGGCTAGAAATGAATGAGAGACAGCTGCACATCCCCCCAGATCGGGGGAGGGGGAGACACGTGGGCGAGGGGGCTGCCTGCAAGAGGCACGCTGAGCGCCATTCCTCCATCTGGGCCGGGGTCTGCCAAAAACCTACGGCTTCCTTGCTCGTTCCTGGCGGAGAGGAAGACAACAACGAGCAAACCCCCAGAAATGGATTCTCCATGGAGCTGCACAGAAGAGGCAGAAAGGATTCTGGGGACTCGGGGAAAGGCAGCCATTCCAAGCCCCCCACCCCCATTCACGGATCCCATCGGAGACAAAGACCCAGGTCCTGCTTTGCTTCAGATGGCCTCCTGCACTATGGATGAGGCAGGCAGAAATTCAATTGCCTTGCCGACACCTTGTGTGGGCCATACATCTGTGCACCCCCCCCCCCCCCCCCCCCCCCCCCCCCATGGGGACCCAACCCCCGCTCCCCCCCCCCCCCCCCCCCCCCCGGCCATGAATGGAGAATCTACCAGGGCTGCCCTCGAAGGCCAGAACCCAGGGGGCTTCTGAGGGGGAGGTCAGCTGAGGCCAGAAGCCTGGATGGTCTTAGCACCAAGTTCAGTCTTCCTTCAACTGGAGCCCCAGAGCGGGGAGTAGGAGGGGGGAAGGAGGAGGAAAAAGAAAGGAAGGAGGAAGGAAGGAAGGAGGAGGAGCAGGAAGGAGGAGGAAGAAGGAAGGAGGAAGAAGAGGTTGAGGAAGAAGGAAGGAAGCAGGAGGAAAAGGAAGCAGGAGGAAGAAAGTGAGGAAGAAGGAAGGAAGGAAAGGAAAATACAAAAAAGAATGAGAAGGAGGGATGGAGGGAGGAAAGAAAGAATACAAAAGGAGGAAGGGAGGAAGGAAGGGAGTTCCCAGCCTCCATCCATCCTCAAAACACCCCCTCCTTCCTTCCCAGTATGCTCAGTTGAAAACTCAGACGGGGATTGAGGGAGCTGCCAATTATGTCACTACATTTCACAGATCAATTGGCATAAATGTTAAAATTAAAATGTAACATTTGAAAATCATTTTTTTTTGCTTTATGACAAGGGGTTCCAGTTTATCATTTACAGCTTGCAAAACGGAGCTCTGCTGACAGCTCTCAGCTCCTCTGACAGGTCTGGATTTGGGCCGATTCTGGTGTCAACCTGATCGCTAACTCAAATTTGTGTTTAACTTTTTGCAAAGTTAATTACAGATTACCACCCAAATGTTAAACATAAATAAGGACACCTTTCCCCTCTTTACGCTGGGAACCCTGCCATGCCTTCCTTCAAGAGATCATTACTGCAAGGCCCATATGTCTCCGGCAATGTGGCCAGAACGCTCCCCGAAGAGACGGAGGGAGGGGTGGCCCCCCAGGAGGAGAAGGGCGGCAACGGGGGCCAGTGTTTCCCCCGGAAGGAGACAAGGCGAGGGGCTGGAGCTGCTGCAGGCCTGGACACGCACAGGGCTGCCCCAAGCAAAGGCCTCCCCACCGGAACCTCACAAAATGGCAGCCAAATGTTGCTCAATAGCGCTTCTCTGACTGCAGGTCTCCTCGTCCATCCCTGTCCCAGACGCTGCCTCTGCTGGCTGAGCCAGCCGTCCCGTTTCCTGGTCCTTCACCCACCAGTAGCAGCCATGCTGGACGGAGGCAGAGGGCAGCCCGCCCACTTCAGCCGGCCCCAAAGAGGAAAGGGGTCTTTGATGCGCCCAATCAGCCCCCGGGGCCATCTGGGGGCCCCAGGTAGCCTAGTAATGCAGCGGCAAGCAGACGAGGGTCTCCCGGGGGGCTTCTTGGTACATAAGGAGCCTGTGAGTAACGTCCTGACTGAACCAGAGAACCGGAAGTCAATGCTAAGAAAGGCATTTCTTGCTACGCAGAATGAAGGTGCAAGGCTTTCACACTTACAATAGGCGTGCCAAAAGGAATGTAACCTAAGGAAAAAAGAAAGGCATCGTTTGAGACCCAGATGCTCCCCCACCCCCAAGAGGAGTTGCTGGATGGGAGCTGCGAGAACTCAGGTGACCACTGGGGGGCAGCACAGAAGTTCCACCTGGGCCCTCTAATGGCCGGCCAGAGTTTTGCAGCCAGGATTCCCAAATGGGGGTAAACCAAAACCTCCAGAATGCCCAACCACAGGAGGAACCCTGGGATCTATTCTAGAGGAATACATCTAGAACCTGTCGAGTGGCGGAAGGAGGCTCTTATAGCTATTCCCTTAGTGAGTCTACGCTGCCTTTTCTTTCTCCCATGAGAAGCCACAGAGCAACAGGGTTTCACACAAGGGCAGAGTGTGAATTTACAGGCACAGGACCCCCGGAATTGAGGAAGGTCATGTGGGCTCATTAACCTCATTAGCCAATCCAGGTCACCTGAAGGGGTTGGGAATCCTAGGGTTGAGTGCGACTCCTGAACCATCAGGTCCAGCCCCACACTCAGGGCAGGAGGCCAGCTTCAAGCACCCTGGGCAGATGGCTCTCCCTGATTAACCGTCTGGGATCCGTCAGGGTGACCAACCGTTCTCGTCATCCTCACCCTCCTTACCCGCTTGGTCATTTACAGTGGGGTGGAGGCGAGGAAGGTGGAGGGGCCCTCGGCTTCTGGGATTGGGCTTTCCACTGAAGGCGAGGAAGAGAAGAATTTCTCCCGCTGAGCTAGAGAGGGCCACGGAAGGGCTGAACCAGGCACTGACCGCACAGAGAAGCACCAAGGTTTGGAGAAGGTGAGCGCCCGAAACCCAGCAAACCTCCACGGGGCCATACCTGACATTCGGAAAGGCATGAAAATGGTCTCGTTCGTGTCCGGGTGGATGATGGCCTAGAAAAGGAGGAGACGCAGTGAAATTGGAGGCAGCTTCCCCAGAAACCCCCACCCTCCCAAGCAGACCAGGCAGGAAACACCCCCAGATGAGCTCAGTCTAGTTCATTGTAAGGCTACTATCTTGCAAATGTGAAGGTACAAACCTCCCGCTGTCTCTTTTACAGCCTGAGATGTTCAGACAGCTCATTTCTAAGTTTTTTTCCCCTTTTTAACCCTTTTCTCAGCTGTGGCTCCTTCCCCTCTCATCTGACCCCTCCCTCACTAGGCAGCAAAACAACAAAACAACAACAAAATTGGTTTCTTGGCACATGGGGGGAGATCAAAATCACCCCCCCCAGCCACCCAGGCTGAAGTCAAGCTAACTGGGGTGGAGGTGGAGGAAGAAAAACCTGCCTTATCCTTATGGGAATGCAGAGGAATCCCATCTCTTCCCAACCCAGGCTCTGGGATGGCTGGGCCCCTAAGGCCTTGCGCTCCGGAGAAGCCGGTGGCAAAAGGAAGGCTACTCGGGGACCGAGAGGCCCCGGCCGTCACAAGGGAGCCCTGCCTTCCCCGTCAGGGCCAAGGGTGGCACCAGGAGAAGCAGCCTCCGTCACCCAGGAGGGACTCTGAGCAGGTTACCTGTTTTATTTTCTGTGCTCTCCAAAGCTGGAAAAGCAAAAGACACGGTTAAGGAGGCTGGTTCAAATCCGCAGGCTGAAGGCAACAAGAGAGAACCCTACCCAAAGGGCAGCTTTGAGGGGGGGAGGGCAAGGAGGAGAGCAGGTCAAATTCACTGGAGGGAAGGAACAGATCATCCCAAAACCCACGGCAGGGCAGGGGGCAGGGACTGACTAACCCTGCCCTACAACCTGAACCAGAGAGATGCTTGTAGAGGGGGCCAGGTGTGCTGCAGCTGGTAAAATGGGGTGGGTGCAACTTTTCCGCCCTCTTGGGGCAAGGAAGGGGCTCTTCCTCTCCTAGGCCAATCAAGGCAGAATCCCAGGCAGAAGATGCGGCCAACGGGCCCTCAGGAGAAGGGCTGGCTGGGCCTCTGCAGCCCCGTCCTAGAAGGACCACTGAATTCAAGGATACGGTTTTTGATGTCCCTCTCGGGTCCTGCCCTGCCCACAGCCAAGGGCCTCTAGGCAGCCCATCCCAAAACAAGTCTCCAAAATCTGAGGGGCCTGTGTTTCTTGGTGGACATCTGGACACTTCCGTGGCTGAGACATCTGAAGACATCTCAGTCTGCATCTGGAGAAGACTGTTTCTCAGGTCAGGCCAGCTCCCTTTTTGCCACACAGAAATAAGTTTGCGGTGCCTTAGCCAGGAAACTTGTTGAATAAAAGCAGGAAAATGGTGTCACAGAGAAGCCAAACGCAATCAGGATTTCCGTATGAGAATCTCACCAAGGATTGGAAGAAGCTCTTTTGTGGCTCAGGGTTTCTGATCAGGTAAAGAAGGGAAGAGGCAGCCCTTCTTTCAGCTGCCCAGGAAGCTCTTCTGTCGTGGTTCCCACACACAAACCGAGTCTGTAGTATTTTAGGGGATTATTTTTGAGCACATCTACAAAATTTAATGGAACTGCAATTCATTTCATACCGTATTCAGCTGCTTGACAAGCCTTCCCCAACCTGCTGCCCTCCTAATGTGATGGAACAATTCATCATCCCAGCCAGCGTGGTCCTTGACGCCCTACACATCCAGAGGCACCAGGGTGGCCAAGGCTGACAAGCTGCCTGCCCGTCCTTCATCCTTTGGGCAAGAGGGACCGTCTGGATGACACCTGCCCCCCCCCCCCGTGGTCTCCTCTTTCCCATCAGCCTTTTCCTCCTCACATCAACCTCCTCTTCAGAGCACACCCTGCTGGGCTCTGCTCGGTTTGCTTTCGGTGCTTAAATTGGCCTCCAAAACACTTTTTAGCACCCGAGCCAGCCCAGCCACTTCCGAATGATTGGACGTGTGGCTGACTGAGAGACATCAGGGCTCGAATAGCCGGGGTGGGAAAACTGGCCAGGCGCCTGGCTGTCCTCCAGCTGTGCAAATCAGAGGCTCAATCTTCTCCTGGTCGCACCCAGCCGAGCCCACGAGGAGCCCTGCCACAGCCAGGGGATTTACATAGGTGTAAAACAGCAAAAGCACCAGCAGAAGAATTCTGCATGGCACAAAGTAATAAAAATTCAGAGCACTTAAATAACACTTTACCACTGTTAATTAATTAGTCCTCACAACGTCCTCGAAGGAAGTTGGAATGGAGGGAAGGAAGCTTGGAATGATTCAGCTGCCGCCTGGTCACTAAATGGAGCAGATCCCAAAGGCTCTCCCAGGGGGGCCTCTCACACAATTGTGTGGACTGCAGGGGGCATCTGCAGGTGAGAAAAGGCTCTTTTCTAAGGCTAATTAAGGCTGGGGAGAAAAGGGAGTGTGTGTGTGTGTGTGTGAGAGAGAGAGAGAGAGAGAGAATGACTATCCTAGTTTGGCCAGGAAACAGGTAGTGGGGAGGGCTGAAGAGGCGCCCCCCCCTCCAATGTTGATTCTCTCCCAAAAGGTCTCTGAAATTCCCTGATCTTGTTTGGGATCTTTGGCTTTTCTTCTGGCTGACTTTCATCATTTGCTCTGACATCCAGTTTGCTTTCTTATCTTCCTTGGTCTTCTTCTCAAGTTCAGCCCTTGCAGGGTCTTTTATTTCCTTCCACAGTTCCTCTGGTTCCTGATCCATGAGAGCCGGGGGGGGGGGCGATTTCTTTGTGCCCAGGCCCAAACCCAGAGCCATGGGAGCCGGTTGGCTGGCTTGGGACTTGCTCACTTACAGTCTGTGGTCCGTGCCAGTCAGCCCTGGCCAGCTGTCTGCTGGTGCAGCCCAGATCTACGGCAACCTTCATCAGAAGAAGAGGAAGCAGCCCTCCTTCCTTGGAAGCTGCTCCGTGGAACCTGCTGGCTTCTGTCTGAGATGCCTGCTGCCTTTCTACCTGGATTTTGCAGGGCAGAGAAGGGAGAAATGCCCGGGGCCCATTGCAGCTCCTGGCCCTGCAACTTCGGGACTGTTCCACAATCTGCCCAAGCACAGGCCTGGCCCTGGAGACCCCCAGGCGAAGGGCGGACCCCGATCTCCCCAGCAGTAGCTGAAACCAGAGCTAAGAGCTGGGATCTGGGCCAGGAGAAGCTCCTTTATTTCAGAATTCAGAACTCAAGTGCTTTAGGGCATCTATGAAATATGGGTAGTCCTCAACTTTCAACCGGGCACTTAGCAAACACTCGAAGTTGTGTCCTGCCTGGAAAAAAGGGAATTACGACCCTGCTCTGAAATTCGAATGGTTGCCACCCTCCCTCCCTCCCCATGGCCAAATGGCTTCAGGGGCTTCACTTCACTACACAACTGCACTTATGGGTCACGCAATCATGCAACTGTGTTTTATGATATTTTTGGAAAACTACAATATGGCAAGCAATGCGTTTGCTTAATACCATGGTGTTCATTTTATGACCACCATGTTCACTTAATGACCACCACAAAAAAAAAGCTTGTAAAATCATGTTACATGGCCAACTTGATTTATGACCGTCACTACATATGACCGTAATGAGCAGGCTCTGTTGTGGTCGTATGTTAAGGGCTGCCTGCGTGGGCTCTCATCAGCTGTCCAACATGGCCAAAGCATCAAATGCCGCTGGATGCCAGCTATTAAGTAATGCCAATTATGGAATCCAAACTATCAAACACTTGAGCCTGGATCAAGGAGGATCAAAGGAAAATACTTGAAAAACACCTGGCAGCTCCACCGGGCCCATTCCTGCCCTTTTGGGGGGATCTTCTGAGATCTCACAGGAGGGGATTCCTCCCCCAAAGACATTGCCCTCCACAAACGCCGCCATTCTTGAGAAGAGACGCTCGAGGGCCCTTTGTGCCAACAGGGCAGGGACTACTGATAGACGAGCAGGAAGGGCACAGCTGGCACACACCTGGCCTCCGCATCCTCTGGTTACCTAACCTCTGGTTGTCCCCACCCTGGGCCCAGGTCTCTCCTTCAGGAGAGGGTGGGGGTTCCTTCCTTCCGATCACCTCTTTGTTGGTGGTTCCTGGGGGCAGCGAGCCGTGCTTGTAGTCCTCCAGCAGCTGCATGGCTTCCTTGAGGCGACTCTGAAAAGACAGCAAGCATCACCTGCACCCCTGAGGAAAGGAAAAGGACCAGGGCCCCGCAGGGCCTCCCATTTCTGGGCAATGTCCTTGGCTGGGGAAGGGAACAAGAGAGGGGAGCCGGGGCTGTGCGTGGGATCCCCCGAGAAGAGGGCCACCAAGCAACTGCTAGCAAGGCTCGAAGCCATTGGCAAGGCCTTGTCTCAACTCCCCTTTTAAGCAAGGGGGTCTGTCTTGAGAGAAGGGAGGACACCCTGCTGGCCATGCCAGCGGCCCCAGAGCGGGCAAGAAGTCCATGAGGGGCAGCCGATGGGGCCGATGGCAAGGGAAGCAGATGGGGGCACTCGGCTTCTTCCTCGCCCAGACTGATAATTCAGAGGGTTCCTCCCAAATCAGACAGAAGCCCCCATGGGAGAGTTCATGTATTTGTTTATTTATTCAATAAATCAATATGGCCGGCCAACTCACCCACGGCATGTACTACCATCATGTAATTGCTCTAAAGCAGGGGTGTCAAACTCGCAGCCTGCGGGCCGGATGTGTCACGCACTGGCCAGGCCACCCCCAGTTTAGCAAAGGGGAAAAAAGTTGCGATACGTCACGTGATAACGCGTCATCGCAAGTTTGACACCCATGCTCTAAAGCTTTTCCAAGTCCCTTCGTTTCAGCCCTGCAAGCCACTCAGGCACGTATGTCAGGTAGACCCTTGGAAGCCCCCATTCCAAGACCTTCTCTTCCCTCTGAGCTAGGAGTCCAGTGCTGTGTGCCCCCCCCCCATTCCTCCACCAGCCACCCTTTTCTTGAAGGGTCTTTGCTGCGCTCTGAGCTGGGTTCTTGCAGATGTTTCATCACCCAACTAGCTAACATCATCAGAGTGAACCCTGACCCCTTCTAGCACTGATGATGTGACCTAGTTGGGTCATGAAAGGGCTGCAAGACAGCAACCCAGCTCAGAAAGCACCCAGGGCCCCGTAGTCCTCCTCCCCCCAAACTCCACTCCCTCCTAGCACTGATGACCTTCCCTAGCTGGGTCCTGAAACATCTGCAAGGAAGCCACCCAGCTCAGAGAGCACCCAGGGCCCCTCAGTTCAACCCTGAGCTCCAAAGATTCTCCTTTTTTGGTACACAGGCAGCGCAATGGGAGACGATGTGGGGAAGAGTGAAGAAATTTGCCAGATCAGAGAAGGGCAGCACCCAATGGCAGACACTGGACAAATGACCAAGTTCATCTCGTAAGATGGATTTTTCCCCTAATTGCAGCCAGGGACCCAAATCGTCCCCTAGTACAACTGCTCTCAGTGGGGCAGCCCCAGAACAGCCCTAGAGGCGGGAGGGGAGGGGGCATCCAAGGCCTAGAGGAGGAGAGCCAAGGCCTCCCACCGCCTGCGGGCTTGAGCCTCCAGAGCCAGGCCGGTGAATGGTAACCAAGCAGCCAAGAAAGTGACCCATTTTCCTGTGAAAAGGCAGCCAAACTCTGCTTAGCATTCCAGGGAGACTCTCTCCTCCTCCTCCTCCTCATTAGCATGTTTTTGGACACCCGAATTGTCCAACTCCAGGCCTTCTTTGCAGCCCGTCTCTGTGCTTCCCTCCGCTCTTCTGAATGAAGACCCAGAAAATGCATCAATGGACCTTCTTGTCCTCTCCTGGTTACTATAACAACCTTGGCAGGGCCCAGCTGGCCGCACAGGACCAATGCCCCCCCTCCCCCCCCAGCAGCACAAAATGGCCCAGGCTTGCCTGAGAGGCTTTGGGCAACTCTGCACCCTCTTTTTGGGGGGCTGAGAGAGAAGCTTGCCCTGAGGGAAGACACAGGAGTGCAAAGCTGAGCAAAGTGGGCCTGGATGCAAGCAGGGAGGTGGGGGGACTCCCACAGCCAGGAGGTGAAGCCCCCCCCCCCCCAACCTGGGACCTGGCCCAAGCAGAAGCGAATAGGAATGCCCCCTGCCTTGCCCTAACCCTTCACTCCACTGCCTTCTTCCTTGGCTGCGGCTGCTGGCATCCCAATACTGCTGCCCCAATCTGTAAGATTAGATAGATAAGATAACCTTTATTGTCATTTTTTTTCCCTGTGGGTACACTGGTACCCATTAAAAAGGAAATTCTGTTGCCTGCTCTCAAAAGTGGACACATACATAACACAACACATAAACATCTCTACTTACAACAGGTCGCTTAGTGACCATTTGATGTTGCAAGAGACCCCCCCCAAGGTACTTAACACCTGATTCTGAAGGTCTGACTGCTCCCCCCTCCCCACCATCCTGTGATGGCATTTTGGGATGAGATCAGCAGCTGTTTGCAGCATTCCACACGCCCCTGAATGTGGTTGCCAAAAACCGCATTTACATCTGGGTCCTGGCAAGAAGTGTTTGCGACTGCCCCAAAAGAGTCATTCATATGCTGACCCACTTTAAAATGGCCAGGCTCCGTTACAGTTGTAAGTCGAGGACTACCTGTGCCACTACAACAACAGCCACCCAAAACCCAGAACCACCATCCGGCCGGAGCCGTCATAGAGGGAAGCAGCCCTTTCAATACTCTGCCAGCCACTTTGGCCACTTCCCTCTTGGGGGGGGAGGGTACACCCCCCCCCCGCACCCCCGGCAGCCTGCCAGTTCCCCGAACTCCCCAATCCCCTGCTGTGCGTTAGCAGCAAATGTCGCATGGATTAAATTAGCTTCGCAAAAAACCTGCCGAATCCTTCAGATGGTCCCACACAGTTTCATTATAAGCAATTAAGAGCCTAATTTTAAGCACCGAAGTCTGACACCTGCCAGGAAGAAGAAGAAGAAGAAGAAGAAGAAGGCAGATCCTCTCCGCACAGGCGCAGGAGCTCAGCTCCAGAAGGGGGCCTGGGGAGAGCTCTACCAGCAGCGGATCTGTGGGGATGGAAGCCCGAGAGGGAACGGGGACCACCGGCTTATCCAAGATATCTTGGGAATTTATCCTGCCTCTTTGTTGCCGTTGCTTTGGCATCAGCTACACGCAATTCTTTTTGCAAGATTGAAATTTCTTTCATCATTAAAATGTCAAAAATCGTCCAAGGTTTAAGGGCCTGCTGCCTGGATAGTGAGGAAGGGTTTCTTTCCGAGCTTAGTCCGGCTGGAGGAGTGGCCACTATTCCCTCAAACATCTACGCAAGAGCTTCCGTCCAAGAGGACCCTCAAGGGCAGCGGGGCCTTTGCACGGAGGAGCCTTTCCACGCTTCTCCCCAGGGTGGAAAACGTTCATTTAGGAGGAGGGGAAACCTGGCATTTTCTCCTTCACAGATTAATCACTCCAGGAGGACTTGGAGGAGGTCTGGGTCTGGGCTTCGTGGATGCTCACCGCTTAGTCATCAATGACTGAAAGGGGGGGGGGGTGCCCCACATGGGGGGAAAAGGTGGGTGGGAGTGCGTGGATTGCGTCCAGTGTGTAAGCGCAGCTTCAGATTAAGAGAGATCCGCTGCAAAGCCCGGTGGCGTCTTCCTATATGCACCGGGGAGGTATGGGGTCTCCTGCTTGAGCAGGGGGCTGGACTAGAAGGCCTCCAAGGTCCCTCCCAGCTGATTGATTGATGATCAGGTACCCCCCCCCCTTTGCTTGGGAAGAAGGCAGAGGCCCAAGCAGCTCAGGAGGAACCGCAGGTGAGCAATGCAGCGCGATGGATCTTCCTTTCACGAAATACTTTTTTATCCTGCCTTCTATTATTTTTATATATAACTCAGGGCAGATTTATAGCAATGCATTTAATGACCGTTTGAAGTTACAACAGCACAGAAAAAGTGGCTTATGGTCGTTTTTCACACTTACGACCGTTGCAGCCTCCCCTGTGGTCACCTGATCAAAATTCGGACGCTTGGCAACTGACTTGTATTTATGACGGTTGCAACGTTCCAAGATCACGTGATCCCCTTTTGCGATCTTCCAACAAGCAAAGTCAATGGGGAAGCCAGACCCACTCAACATCCGTGGCAAAAAAGGTCATAAAATGGGGCAAAACTCACTTAACAGTTGTCTCACTTAGCAACAGACATTTGGGGCTCAATTGTGATCGTAAGTCAAGGACTACCTGCATTCCTTTAACAACCACCCTGTCAGGTGGGCCAGGCTGAGAGACGGGGACTGGCTCGTGATCCCCACTTTGCTGTTGTAAACAGGACTTCAAACCCGGAATCCTTTCAACTCTGCCTGAGGTTTTCAGCCCAGCCTGCGAACAACCCACCAGCTCAATCCCGGCTTCTTTGCCCATCTGCCACCCTGGTCTGGCTGCTGGCATGAATCATGCCTGAATCACAGGCGCTTCCCACCAGGACGCAGGTGGGAATTAACCGCACCCTGCGCACAGACGCTTCCCCTCTGCTCTGCCAGCCTGAAGGGCCGCTGGACTCAGGCTATCTACGGGGAGTCCTTGACTTAAAACCACTGGCTTAGCGAGTGTCCAAAGCGACATTGGGACCGAAAAACATGAGTCTGTCCTCACACTTACAACTGTCCCCACATTCACATGATCTAATTTTGGGTGCCTGGCAACTGGCATGTATTTGCCATGGTTGCAGCGTCACGCGGTCACCATCTGTGATTTTTCCAGCCGGCTTCAGGCAAGTAAAGTCAATTGGGGAAGCTGGGTTCACTTAGCAACTGCGTGATTCGCTTAACAACAGTGGCAAAACAATTCTGGGAGTTGAAGTCCAGAGGTCGTAAAGGGACCACAAAAGGGTTGTAAAAGGGAGGGAGGGAGGGAGACTCAACCTTGAGGCAGTCAGGATCGAACTCCTGGCTGTGGGCAGAGTTTGCCTGCCATCCCGCCCTCTAACCACTGCACCACCACAGCCCTTTTATGATCTTCTTTTATGACGTTCTGACAAGCCAAGTCAGTGGGAAAGCCAGATTCACTGAACAACCATGTTACTAATGAACAACTGGAGTGATTCACATAACAACTGTAGCAAGAAAGGTCATAAAATGAGGCAACTCTCTTAACAACTGTTTTGTTTAGCAAAACAAAATGGAGAATTGG